ATGTGGATAATAAATAGAGGTGAGGCATTAGCAACAACAAAGGCAATTACATAATAAGTTAGCATTAAGGGGATTAAGGAAAGGCTTTGTGTAGAAGAAGGGATTTTAGCTGGGCATTAAAGGAAGCCAGGGAAGCCAGGAGACAGAGATGAGGAGGGGGAGAAGTCCAGGTATGGGCAACAGCCAGTGAAAATGCTTGGAGTCAGAAAATGGACTGTCTTCTGTGAGTAAAAGCAAGGAGGCCAGTGTCACTAGCAGGAATTACTATCTAGACTAAATGTGGTCACATCCTTTGTATGTTGCACCCATAGGGGCTTCATGATAGGATGCCCATGATGGTAAGAACAATAGAAAAGGCATGCCAAAAGGGTAACAAGTTACAGAGTTGGTATAAAGGCATCTCGGATTGGCCCAAGGTACTCATAGGGTAACAGTCAGGGCTCTAGGCAGTCTGTGTCGATCTGTGCATGAGCCTGGTAGAATGGCTGGCATCTGGTACTACAGTCTATATTGTTGAAGAGTCTAAAAATGAGGGGCTCCCGTTTTTGTTATGCCAAGCATCTTTCACCTGACCTCTTTACCCCATCAGTTAGGGACTGGTTCCCTAACCATGACTTTTGACCCCTGACTGCTAGATGACTATGACCTTTGACACCTCCAGATTCAAGAGAAGAGGAAAGGGATCATGCAGCTGCCATTGGCATTGGGCAGTCATCGCTCCCTCTTGGTGCTGTTTGACCAATGATCTCAGGCATATCATAGCATAGCCCAACATATAACATTTCCCATTTTCACATAAAATTTACATAAAAATACACACATGGAAAGCCACCTGGGTAACCAGTCTTCCGAAAGTCACATTGTTCTGCCACATGGCTCCTTTGGTCTTCATCCCATCCACTTGATCACAAATGGAATCCTGGGCTCTCCTTACTTTTATCTACTGCTTGCAGGCAGCCTCAGAAGAAACCAGAGGCAGATATCCTTGCTAGAGGTACTGGTAGTAGGTGTACCTAAGTGGCACAGTGGATGGAGTGCTGGACTTGGAATCAGGAAGACTCATCTCCCTGAGTTTAAATCTGTACTCAGACACTTACTAGCTGTGAGACTCTGGGCAAGCCTGTTTGCCTCAGTTTCTTCATCTATAAAATGAGCTGGAGAAGGAAATGGCAAACCACTCCAGTATTTTTGTCAAGAAAACCTCATATGGGTCAACTGAACAACAACATAGCCCTCCTGTCCCTCAGGGCAATTGTTCTGCCTCCCTAATTGTGGTATAACAATGGTACACTATCTGATACTTATACATACATACTTCAAACTAATAATAGTCAAAAAGTTATTGTTTCCCTAGGTTTCCTCTTACCCAATGATCTAGGTCTTAATATGCCAAAACAGTCATTTCCTAAGTATAGGTAATAGCATGACCTAACAGCACAGATCATGGTCCCTTCCACACCTCAGTAGACAATTTTATCAGTTGCTCTGGCCAGCAACTTATGAGCCTTTCTAAGCTTAGCTAGATCTTGTATCGAATGACAAACATTCAGTTCAATGTAGGTGTCCTAAAGTGTTTCCAGCTTGGTAGAACTTTGGAGAACTTGCCATTCACTAATGTGGCCTTTAAGAACACAGGAGTTATCTCCACCGTACAATAAAGCATCAGAGAAAGACTTGGAGAAATGGAGGAGCTACTTAACATGGCATGTGAAGCATAAAAACCTTGATGAAAGGTTCAGTTTATGAGCCTGACATTTAAATGCAGTAAACTTTAATGCAGCTGGAGTCCTAGGCTAAAAGAACCCTTTGCTGACTGCAAAAAGTTTCTACATTAATGGCACCTGTGGGTGATAACACCATCTCAGGGAGATAAGAAAAGGCCTCTTTAAGTTTGGATATATGATGCTCTGTATTTGGGTCTTGCTTATATCTTACATCGGGACAGGGATGGGGACTAGACCTGTATACAGAACTCCCAGGTGAGAAAACTATCTACCAATGCAGGTCAACACTTTCTCCGCAACTACTAGTCTCAGCTATAGGCTAAGCTAGAGCACTGAGAGGTTGCTTCTTGCACATCCATTATGTATGAAAGGAAGGTCTCAAGCACGTGTCCTCTTAGCTTCCAGCGTGGTTCGCTAGCCACTATCCCATGCTGAGTCCCACTTCATATGCAAATTCTAAATTCAGTAATGGAAACCACTGGACATTCTCCATAATATATTAAAGAGCCACTGGTTACACACAGAACAAGAAAGCCACAGCTTGGTGATTCAACCTGAAAATAAGATGGTATTTATAAAAAGCTGATTGCTGGATCAATTATTTGCCAGGCCGAGAATCTGCTTTCACGTGCAAAACAACCTTCACCAAACCAAACAAACCACTCCTCACCCTTCTGGGGCCCTTATCTTCTCATCCATGTAAAAGAAACTGTCGGATGAAAGTTTTAAGATAGTTTTGTTGTATATTTGAAAGGCATAGCAAGTTGTACATAGCAGATTCGCAGTTTCATGTGCAAGCATCTTTTTTTTTTTTTGGACTGTTATGTTATGCACTATGTTATGGAAATGCTTGTTTTATTCCATAAATTAAAAATAAAATAAAATAAAAAAACAAGAGGAGGCCTTCATGCACCACCCTTCCTATGCATGGTACATTCCCTGTCTTAAGGACCTTGTTTTTTTTTTTTTACTTTTTATTTAAGACCTTGATTATTTATAGCCTACGTTGTTTCCTCTCCTATATAGAAATAAACGATTGACAACGATCTAGGTTTTAAGAGACAGGTTTCTTTAGCATTTTTTGCGGATTCTGTATCCCAGAATCTACATATAAATATAACCTAGCCAGATGGAACAGTCAGTGAGGCATTCTGGATGCTCTGGGATAAAATAAACAATCAGAGAAAAGGATGAAGGGCAAGGCATAGAAAAGAAGAGCAGCCTTTCCTCCTTCCTCTCTTTTTCCTTTTGGGGCTCTAGAGATGTATGAATTCTCCCTGACAAGCCCAGTGCTCTCTTCATACTTAGCTTCAAAACTCCTTTTTTTCATATAGGCAG